TAATAATAATAATAATAACAATAATAATAATAATAATAATAATAATAATAATAATAATAATAATAATAATATAAAAATATTATTATTATTATTATAAATATTATATTAAATATTTTTTCGGTAAAATAGAAAAAACACACACGGTACATATCTCCTGGCGGAATAGTAATAATAATAATAATAAATAATAATAATAATAATAATAATAATAATAATAATAATAATATTATAATAGTAATAATAGCCTAATAATAATAATAACAATAGTGTATTAATAATAATAATAATAATAATAATAATAATAATAATAATAATAATAATAATAATAATAATTGTGAACTTATAGCGCATAATGTAAAATAACTCTGTGCGCTTTATATAGTGGGGAGTGGGATAACTTATTTAAAGTTTCAGGTAATGGAGTTGAATAGCTTAGTGGTTAAGATGCTTGCCTTCCAATCCCAGGGTCAATTCCTGTCAGTTGCAAGATTTTTTTCTCACGACTAAAGCAACTCCACTCCCTAAACCTCATATTGAGATTTAGTTTGTGTAAAGCATCATATATATGTTTGTCTTGTGAAAGGGATTGTCACCTATAAAATAAGACAGTGATAATAATCGCTATTGACACAATCCTTGGTGCATTTGTTGTGTGCCTAAATAAAATAATGAAAAAAAAAAATTAAAAAAATAATATCAACTATTTAAATATTATTAATTATTTACTAGATTTATTCTAAGTTATGAATAATTTGAAAAGTACAATAATCTACCGTACTTAATTATTCTTAGCTCTATGCATGAATTGTCATATTTGCGTACGTGCATTTCATTAATGCGCATAGGGTACATGCTTAATCACGACTGTATTGATTTAAGTTCTAAAAGAGTATAAATAAGCATTATCAACCAATCCTTCAATTAATCAATCGTCGTCATCACCAACGGCAGATCCAGGGAGCACTGGGGTTAGCCCCTTTCCCCAGAAAATTAGGAAAACAAGCCAAGAAAGAGGGGGAGCACGGTACAGTGTAAACCCCAAAACAACCTATTTTTCTATTTAAATTCCATGTACCAGTGTCTATGATCTGACAAACATTTACTTTTTCTATGATAATTTTAGGCCTAACGAAAGTTTTGTTTTTCTGAGCATGTGCAGATTGTGCTTATCTGGCTCATTTCCATAACAATACCGCACATGAGGCTAATTCAAGTTAGACGGCTTAAATCAGCCAGCTTCCTATCCTGGTAACAGTTAAAAGTCCTTGGTCCCAAACATTTTTGCATGCTCGAACCCCTCGTGACATAAAGGCTTTGTTTGACGGATCCCATGTCTAAGTATAACTCATTATCGATATTCCAGCAATAAGATTATAAATTAATATAGATAGAAGATGATTCACCACAAAAGTACCCCTTAACTAATCGAAATACTGTAAAGGGCCTTTAAAGTCAATTTTAGAGATAGAAGGTCTAGACCACCTCAGACTGAGGCCCACTATGATTGGGACTCGAAGTACTATATTTGAATGTCTATGTCACTTCTAGATGGCCGGAAAATTGCACTTTCCAGTGGCGGATTCAGCGGAATTTGAAATAGAGGGTTTCATGGAGGGACTTCTACAGGGGGAGGGTGTATACCACCTCAGCCCCACCATAGTTGGGGCTAGGATAACATTTATGATTATGGAACCTCTAGTTGGCCCGAAATAGCACTTTTTCAGATTGAATATAATTTTCTTTTTATCTCCATTGTTTTATTTCAACAAATTATGGGGACCGGGCCGACTGGGCCCCTTGAATCCGCCACTGCAGTCACACTCAAATTTTTTTCATTTGTCTTCGATTTATTCATTTCCCTTTTTCCTTACTGGTTTTCCATTGCAATGAACTTTGCGATACGATCATTTTTTTTATTCCGTTTCTCTATTTTTCATTTTTCTTTTTTTCCTCTTTCTTTCTTTTTTACTATTTTTCTTATTCTCCATTCTTCTCTTTTTTTCTTGTCCTTATACTTTTCATATTTTTGTCTTTCCTTTCATTTCTTTTTCGTTATTTTTCCCTTTCTTTATATTTGCCTTTCTTTTCCTGAAATTTCTATTTATTTTTTTTACTTTTATTTCCTATTTCTTGTTCCCTTTAATTTCTTTTGCCTTTAAATTACTGTATTTTTTTACATTTGTTTCCTTATTTTTCGTTCATTTTTCTTTGTGTATAAACAAGTGTGAAGGCAATTCTAGCGCACATATTAAATAGGTTTTCCTACAAATATTTATAAAATTCGTTCAGGATTTTCCCGATGTTGTCACATGCTTCTCTTGCGACTTCTATGGTCGTAAATTCTTGCTCTGCCATGTTACCTGCATTGTCTGAATACACTTCTACTTTCAGTTTCTCTCCGAGGGGGCTTTCATGTTTATTTGCGTTATCCATTCTAAGCAAAGCGAACATCCAGTTGTTATCATGTGGATTTGAAGCTGGTTGAATCTGTAATGAACCATGGTAAGGTAAGCAATCACTAGATATCATATTAACATATAACAATAAAAAATTAGTCTTCCAGCACCTAAAATATTCCACATATATATTAATGTTTAGTACAATGACGCTGCTCTTCTTGTAATGGCTACAACTACGATTCACTTAAGTTTCTGTAATAAGCACTAGTTTCTTCTTCCGTTAGTATACTTAACATATTTTTGCTTTGTATCTGTTTAACAAACGTAACAGTTCCTTTGACAATAATCCTGACATTAATTTCAAGATACACATTGTGGCAGTATGTAGTATAAAACTGTACTAAGGATTTTTATCTATTATTCTACAAAAGAGATCAAGGATCATTTAACCGTGGTGTGCAACCATTTCTCCATCTAAGAAAGCAAATATAAAAATATCATTCATACTGATACTTACAGAAACAAGAAAATGGAAAAGGTCTGGGAACTGGTGTTCAAATTGACTCCATTCATACTTCTTTTGAAGTTTATTTCTGACTTGTTGTGTCACCTTTGCTGAAGAACATTTTGGAATGCTGAAAAAGTCACAGCTGACTTTGACATGTGCGTAATGACGATCTTTGAACTTCGCCATGGTCTGGTTGAGGATCGTGCGACACTTGTGGATGATGTCAACTCTGAAAACTGCAATTTGTGTCTCGTCTTGCAGTATACAAAACTTCTCCAAATTAACTTGTGTTTTTCTTAGGTCACATAAAACGATACCTATCTCGGATGTATCTGCAGATAGTAAAGTGTCAAGATCTCTCTTCAATTGCACCGTTTCATTGTTGTCACTTTGTTCAATGAAAACAATTATCTGAGCACAACTTGTGTAGAAATCTCTGTTTCCTCTATTAATCTTTTTGACTTCATCAAGGAGCAAGCTTGCTCCTGCAAGACTGCCAAATTTCACTGCTTCAATAAAAAGATTAATAGCATCATTTTCTTTACCATTCCGGAGTGCAATTTTTCCTTTTTCGACAGCTACATTCGCCTTGCACTTGTGAAGAATGTCAGGTTTCGGGTTCTCAAGACTGATATCTTCCATATCCTGAATAATAAAATTGACATCTGTAAGAAGACTTTTCCTAGTTTTAATTTTACCTAGATATTCAAGGATTGTCCATTTAAGTTCTGTATCGATAGGTGGTTGTATTGTAATGATTTGTTCGTAGTATCGGCATGCATTGCCATGATTACCGAGTGTTTTCTCCAACTCAGCTAGTTTTAAAAGTGATTCTTTAACGTTTCTATGTGCTTTTAGCTGACCTTTAAAGTATTCTCTGAGCTGTTTAATAGATTGTCGAACCATCCAGTCAACCTCCGGAAAGAATATAAACGGTGGATCATTGTTTAATTTACATTCTTTCAGTGCTTTGTCAACAAGTGCTTGATAACTATCAGTGGCAGCGTCGTCCTTGCTCATTTGTTCAAATAACTTGGCAAAATTATAATTTGTTCGAATGACTGCTTCTGGGTCATTTCCGTAATTATCCAGAATATGATCCAAGCATTCCCGAGCTTCATTGTACATTCTTTTGGTAATATATTCTTTAACTTGATCAAATCTTGCGGCAAGATTACACGGATTTACATCAATTGCCTTCTGTAGATAATTGACTGGTGGTAAAGTGTTCGTATCTCTGTATACAAGATATATTTGGTGATTAGTGAATGAACTTCGCTCGGTTTCTGGCGTGGCGATCAGAATGTTAAGAGCCACGTCGTATTTCTTCATTCGCCTATATACTTTTGCTACTTCTGAAATTGTTTTTTCATTTGATGGGTTCGATGCTAAAGCCCTTTCTAAAAAGCGTTCTGCATCAAGATATCGTTTCCTCCTTCGCTTTAATTCTGCTATTAAAGTCATTGCATAGCTGTGATTATGATCTAAGTTTAGAACGTCATAAAAGATGCTCACAGCTTTCTGCATTTCGTCACAAAAATCATTGATTTTAACAGTCGGTATGCCTTTTCTCCAAATGACCAAACCAAGTGCAAACAACCAATCGATCTCATTTGGACACAAATTTACAGCTTTTTGAAATTCCTCAATACTTTCCGAGTATCGAATCATTCCTAAACGTGAAAACGCAAATCCTTTTGTTGCATATATGCTGCCTAAGAACATATCACGATCGCGAGAGCCGGCCTCGTATTTTGATTCAAGCGTCCGCAGTGTACTGATTTTGGCTTCGAGTTTGGTCTTGTCGCGATCAAGCCAGGCCTCAAGAGCCAAAGCAATTAATAAATAACCGTCTTTAAAAGACGTTTCCCTTTGGTCATCCGTGAGAAATCTACGTACTTCATTTAGGCAATCAATTGCTTCTGGTTTCTTCTTTTCAACATTCCCTCTGAAGTCAGAGAAATATAGGTAACTTTTGAACAAAAGACCCTCAATTATCATAGCAGGCGACTCTGCAATGTTCCGAGTGATCAGAGAAAACAACGTCTGAAAATGTATCATAGATTTGTCTTCAAGATTCCAAACGAAATGGGAAGGAAACTTGCGAAGCTGGTTTTGTAAAGCCTCCAGGGACGCCATGTCGCTGTACCTGTTGATACACAAGTGATAACCAGAAGGAAAAATATTTTGTATTCCATGTACAGAAGTAGCCTACGCCCAGAGGGCGCAGCCAGGGTAAAATTTTAGGGGGGGGGGGGGGGAAAATATTTTTTTCAAACCCAGACCAGAGATACAATTATAATTAAAACA